GCAACTTGAAGGGGCCATCCGTCTCTACCCCGAGCCCCCCCTCCACGGCGGAGAAGCTCTGGTGCGGAATAAATGAAGACGATGAAGACGACGCGGCGGCGACGGTCTCGCGACGGCGGCCCCGCCGACCGCGATGGCGGCGGCGGCGGTGACGACGATGACGGCAATGATGACGGCGACAGCAATCGCGACAGAACGACGATGGCGTCTGCGGCGGCGAGGGCGCGCAGTCGCTGCGCGGCGGAGAATGAATCTTCGGCACATGGGGCGCACCTGAAAGCGGCTACCCCCCTCACCCCGGACCCTCCGCCGCAATTTCGAGGGGCCGCCCCTCTCTACCCCGAGCCCCCCGCCGACGCGTTGGATGGCGACGGCGGAGATCCTGCGCCCGCGACGATGGCGCAACTTGAAGGGGCCACCCGTCTCTACCCCGAGCCCCCCCTCCACGGCGGAGAAGCTCTGGTGCGGAATAAATGAAGACGATGAAGACGACGCGGCGGCGACGGTCTCGCGACGGCGGCCCCGCCGACCGCGATGGCGGCGGCGGCGGTGACGACGATGACGGCAATGATGATGGCGACAGCAATCGCGACAGAACGACGATGGCGTCTGCGGCGGCGAGAGCGCGCAGTCGCTGCGCGGAGAATGAATCTTCGGCACATGGGGCGCACCTGAAAGCGGCTACCCCCCTCGCCCCGGACCCTCCGCCGCAATTTCGAGGGGCCGCCCCTCTCTACCCCGAACCCCCCGCCGACGCGTTGGATGGCGACGGCGGAGATCCTGCGCCCGCGACGATGGCGCAACTTGAAGGGGCCACCCGTCTCTACCCCGAGCCCCCCTCTACGACAGAGAAGCTCTGGTGCGGAATCAATGAAGACGATGAAGACGACGCGGCGGCGACGGTCTCGCGACGGCGGCCCCGCCGACCGCGATGGCGGCGGCGGCGGTGACGACGATGACGGCAATGATGATGGCGACAGCAATCGCGACATAACGACGATGGCGTCTGCGGCGGCGAGAGCGCGCAGTCGCTGCGCGGCGGAGAATGAATCTTCGGCGCATGGGGCGCACCTGAAAGCGGCTACCCCCCTCACCCCGGACCCTCCGCCGCAATTTCGAGGGGCCGCCCCTCTCTACCCCGAACCCCCCGCCGACGCGTTGGATGGCAACGGCGGAGGTCATGCGCCGACGACGGGCCGGCGACGATGATGATTAGATTGATAGCCGACGGCGCTGGCGCCGGGAAACACAGCTCTCCCACATGTCCGCGAGGGCTCCGTTGTCTCCGGGACCCCCCGGGCCCCCCCATGGGTCTCCAGGATGGCGCCGCCCAAGGCCCGCCCCTCAGGCGGAGCATCTGAGGCTCAGGTCCCCCACAACCCCCCCGATGCCCCTGCCCCTGAAACCCCAAGTCTCGGGCCCGTCCAGAGAGCCGCCGGGCCCGCCGAGGAACCGACTGAAGGCGCTAACCTGTTCGAAAACGCCCGCGACGATGGCGCAACTTGAAGGGGCCACCCGTCTCTACCCCGAGCCCCCCCTCCACGGCGGAGAAGCTCTGGTGGGGAATAAATGAAGACGATGAAGACGACGCGGCGACGACGGTCTCGCGACGGCGGCCCCGCCGACCGCGATGGCGGCGGCGGCGGTGACGACGATGACGGCAATGATGATGGCGACAGCAATCGCGACAGAACGACGATGGCGTCTGCGGCGGCGTCGACGGATGAAGACTCAATTGGCCCGAGGCGGCCGAGCGGGTTAAGGCGCCAACCCGGCCGAAGGAGACGCGGGGTGAGGGCGCAAATCGCGCTTGGAGACGCGATTCCGCCCACGCGGGTGGTGAATACTCGGACAGAGGACGCGACTTAGCAGAGCCACTCCTCGCTACCCCGAGCTCCCCGCGGCAACCAGAGATAGCGAAGGCGAGAACTGATGCGCCAACGGCGCTGGCGGCGACGATGGAGAATCGAAAGAGACGTCGTCGACGGTGACGGATATATCGAAGAGGGGGGGAAGAGGCTGGAACGGCCAAGGAGACGGACGGGGAGAAGCGGGGCGGGGCGGAGAGAGAGGGGGCCGCCCCTCTCTACCCCGATGACAACGCCGACGGCAATGAAAGGCAAACGCGGTACCATTCGAACGCCCGCGCAAGATCTCACAGTTAGCGACGACATCCACGGGCAACTGATGCAGCTGCCGCCGCGCGGCAGAGGGCGATGCGCCAGCGGGGGATAGAGGCGCGAAGCGGCTTGAAGAAGACGACGAAGGAGGAAGAGGAGGAGGGCGAAACTGCGCGGGGACAACGCCCGCGGCATCTCTCAGACTGCCCCACGGGGCTTGTGGGTGTGAGATAGTTCCCCCCCGTGGGTCTCTAGGCGTGTGAGATAGTTCCCCCCCCCCTATAGTCCCCCCCCAGGGGCCCCAAACCGGCGATTCGACCCCCCCCCCCCGGCCCCCCCCCACCCGGGCCCCCTACGAGCGCGTCGCGGCCTCTTTGCGCCCAAAAGAAGCTCACGACAGGCCAAGAAAGTCCCAAGAGACCTCCAAGACGACCCACGAGGGTTCCAAGACACCAAGCGAGCGTTCCAACACGCCCAAGATAGGCCCAAAACGAGCCAAGGAATCTCCAAGACAGCCCAAAAGGCCTCCAAAAAGGCCCATCGGAAAACGTACATGTTCAAGACGGCCCAAGAGGCCCCCATGACGGCCCAAGAGGGTCCCAAGACATCCCCAAGAGAAGCCCGAGAGGGGGAGCTTCAACCGACAATCCGAGCCTTCCGCCCCTCGACGGCCCCAGAAAGCTCCATGAGGCCCCAAGAAACCCCAAAAGGCTTCCAAAAAGGCCCCAAACGGCCCCAAAACGGCTCCCAAGAGGCTTCGAAACTGCCTCCAAGAGTCCCGCGAGAAGCCCCGCAAAAGATCACCACCACGAAACTGAGAGAACGCTGGCTTCTGCCCAAGCACCTGTTGACATCAGCACATCCTGGCACCCTCTGCACGTCTTGCACCATTTCTCGCCCGCGCTTCTCATCTCCCCCGTGCACTCTTTGCAGAACGCCGGCCTTTCCTTTCTCTGGAACTCGTACTTCGTGAACGCCTCTACCACCAACCTCCGCCGGCAGCGCTCGCACTGGTCTCGTGGCATTAATTCCGCCTCCCACTCATCCCAATTCACGCTCTCCCCTCGCAGCACTTGCAACAGATTTTTCGTGCCTGAACGCTTCTCCGCACGCCGCGCACGTCAGCGGCTTCGCGTCCGCCTCGGCTTTCCGTTTGCGATTCGCTGCCTCCGCATTGCCCCGTCGCACCCCTTTCTCTCGTTCTTCCGCGCATTTCCGACAGAGTCTTTCCACCGCAGCATTGTGCCTTTTCTGAGCTTCGGACATTTCCGCTTCCTCTTGGAACTCCGACGGGCAATCGCCGTTGGAACACCGCAATGTGACCGCGCGTTTGCGATTCGCTGCAACCGCATTCCTCCGTCGCACCTCTTTCTCTCGATCTTCCGCGCATTTTCGACAAGATCTTGCCCCCGAAAAATTGTGCTTTTTCAGAGCTTCGGACATCTCCGCCTTTTCATCACACAGCGACAGGCATTTCCCGTTCGTACATCGCACCGTGCCGACGCTCTCGTTCCACTTCGCGTTGCCTTTCCGCGAGTTCTGCTTTGCTTTGACATGGCTACACTTCGCGCAGTACATTGTCCTAATCTGTTTCATTTCCCCGTCGTCGGCAGCCGCGTCCGCGTTCCGACCACTGCCATGGCGTGCCGCGTCGTCACTCTTTGCAGAACGCCGGCCTTTCCTTTCTCTGGAACTCGTACTTCGTGAACGCCTCTACCACCAAAGTCCGCCGGCAGCGCTCGCACTGGTCTCGTGGCATTAATTCCGCCCCCCACTCATCCCAATTCACGCTCTCCCCTCGCAGCACTTGCAACAGTTTGTTCGTGCCCGCCATCTCACCCGCGTTGTACGGACTCGTATCAAACGGGCGGAAGATCAGCAGGTTCTCCCGTCTGACCACGCGCGCGATGGCAACGTAACTGCACATCCAACTCACGCCGCGCCCACTTTCGAGGTCAGCTATCACTGCTGCCATGGTCCGCCCCTGGGCAACATGCGCCGTTGCCGCCAAAGCCGGGATTATCAAAAAATTGGGAGCGCTTCACACTCAACGCAGGATGCTTCCGATACCCGTCCAAGAACCATTGCCGCCCTTTCGATGGAAAGATCGGATGCAGCACCAGCTCCCACCCTGGCAGGTGCCACTCCTTCGTATGGAAGATGCAACAACACTTCCTCCTCTTCATCTCCCACGATCTCGTCCTCGTGCAGCACCCATCCATGGATCGTGGCTGTGCGCCCCCGCAGAAACTGCTTCTTGGACCGATCCAAGTGATCTCCCAGAGCCACGGGCATCCCCTTGGCCAGCGCCAGCCACCCAGGCAAGCTTGAGCACTCCTTCTCGTGGTACCTCAGCCAACGTATGTTATCCTCCACCGTGTACGGCCGCCTCTGTTCCCTCCCATGGCAAGGGCAATCCGCGCCACTGTTTCCCCCAGGTACAAGACGCCCTCCTCACCCCAGAAGCCGCCCCAGGGGCGCGCGATGCACGCACTTAAGCGCGGCGTGCTCTAAGTGCGGGTGACAGCAGAAAATGCAACTTCGCGCGCCCCGATCGCACGAAGCGGCACGCCTGATGCGACGTTGGGGGGGGGGGGGAAGCGAGGGAACTTCAATGAGTCGAGGGAGGGGGAGAAGTAGATTGGCAAGAGCCGCCGAAGCCGATTTCGGGGCAGACCAGATGGTGCCCGCAGCATAGCTGAGGCCACTGAAAGACTGGGCCGACACAGCCGATCGCGGGGCAACCCCGGGCACGGACCTATACGCTCCTTGCCAGCCGGTGTCCCCAATCACCGGCGCGACGAGAATGCAGTCTGCGCTGGGAGAGAAGCGTAGAAGTCGGCTGACGACCCCTCTCGGCGCGCGAATTTGCCGCCCCCATCACTCGAATTCGCTCGTGTTCACCCGCAGGCGCTTGCGTTCCTCCGCGGCGTCTGCGTCCGCAACGATCTCCTCGAGCTTGCGCTTCTTGAACATGCCCTTGCCCTTGGGGTTGCCCTTGCGCTTGCCTCGTGGGCTCGCTGAACGACCATCGAAAGCCCGGGCACTCCGGTCTGAATGAGACCTGGATTTCCCACCGCGAAACCAAAAAAATCTCGGGGGAGACACAGGGGACTATCCACTGATGTCCAGGGGACACTGCCGAAGATTGATGCCTGGGCCCCACTGGCCCGGAGTGACGGGGGAGAGCGATCGGAGCCACCCCGCTTTGCCCCGAGCCCCTGGACGCGGCAGTGCCAACTCGCTAGACCACGACGCCCCAGGCCCCAGCCGCCTTGCGCCGCCTTGGCCCTCTGGGTGGAGTCCCCCGCATCGGCGGCGTCCGCGACCCTGTCCAGGAGATTAGCCGCGACCAGCGCTGTCAAGCCGTCGGAGATCTTCTTTGCCAGGTCCGTTCTGAACCACGTGTCCCTCGTATTCCTGAGCCACTGCCTCGCATGCGCCTCCGTGAAAATCTGCCCCTTGGGAGCGCGAGTGAGCAGGAACTGCCGCATCAGCTCGGGCGGCATGAGGGCCCTCATCGCTGCCTCCGCGACGTCAGGGGCGGCCAGCACGGCCGCCGAAGATCCGCCTGCGCACCTGCCGTCGGCGCCGGAGCGATGGTTGCCCTCGGCAGACGCGGTCCTCTGGGCGACGTGGAAGCGGCACAGCCCGAAGTGAAGGTCAATTTGGCGGAGAACCTTGTGGAGCCCCATCGTGATTTCGTTCACACTGGGAAGACAGCGCCCGCAAGCAGCATCAAGGGGCGGTTGCGGCGCCAGGGCGCCGCCGCCCTGGGCAGCATGCCGGGCGATGAAGTCCCTGGCGAACTGGTTCCCGCGGTGCACCCGGTGCGTTGCGCGAAGCAAGTCGCTGTGAAAGAAATCCAACTTCGTCTTGAACGCCTGCGGCATTGGCACGGTCTGACAGATGTCATCAAAAGCCTGCTCCGCAGCACGGTATATGGTGTAGGCGTAGCCGTGGAGCGAGAGAACGCTGGCGACATCAGAACAATGCTCGTGCATCCACCCGTGCAGCCGCTCGATGAAGGAGTCGCTCTGTTCGGAATCGACCCCGTCGTCCGCGCACACGTCCTGGAGGGCACCGCAAGAGCCGCTTCACATAGGAACAACATCGATCCGAAGAGGGCTGGTCTCCCCCAAAACGCCAGGGGAGCCCTCGAGCTCCAAGCCACTCGGGAACAGCCCCGAGAGTCGGGCACGACCAGGACGGGGCCAAAGGAAAAGATTAGGAGGGGCCAGAACCTGTGGGCTCGGGGAGTGAGGCCAAGAGGCAGGCGGCGGAAAATCGCAACCAAGCTCGGGGTGGCGACATATGATGGGCCCAGGGTTGACCCGCTGTCGTGGAGGACCCACACCGTCTGCATGCGCTTCTGGAACCCGTGCACTTTCGGCATGGCGATAAACTCGACGACCTCCGTCTGGCCCGCGCACTTGAGCATGAAATTGTAGTTGTCCAAAGACACCTTGCCGTTGCCGGTCGCCGGTCCGTCGTGCTCGCTCTGCGTCCACGTGTTAAGCCTCGCGCAGCTGAGATAGTGCACCCCGGACTCCTGGTCGCTGAAGGGCGTCTGGAACGTGTTTGCGGCCTCGTCGCTGGAGATGCCGCACCGGCCGTGTTCTTCAAGCTGCTTCCGAATGCCCTTCGTGGTGCAGTCCGTGTTCATGACCAACTTGTCTTTGAAAACAGGGGAGGCCTCCGGGACCTGCGTCAACCACTTGTCCGAGCACTGCATCAAGGCCGACTTCCGCGTGGAGGACGCGCTGCCGATCAAGAGGGGCTGGCCAGGGGAAATGTAATGGCCTGACGACCGCAAGTGCGTGAGCTTTGTTCCGGGCGCCTCGATGAAACCCATGTTGCACTCCACGGCGGAGAGCAGCGCCTCCGCGGAGAGACCCAGGGCCTTTCCTGCGGTGTGCACGGCGTCCGCCAACAGCTTCGGCGCGATGGTGCGCAAATCGAAATCCAGCTCGCTGGCAATCTGGCGGTGGGACCGGGTGTCCTCCCACGCCTTCATGACCCTCTGGCGCACTGTCTCGTAGACCTCCTCCTTCGTCTTAAAGCCCTCGAAGACGATGTCAGGAAACAGGAACTCTTCGATCGCGTTCGATGCCTCGTCCTCTGGGAGCCCTTCGACTTTGGCCTGCAATGCGGCGACGCTCTCGCCCGTGGGGTCCGGGGCGCGAAGACTGGCACTCGCTGCAAAGGAATCCTCAAACCGCGCGCCATTCCTGAAGGAGGTGAACTGCGTGCTCGGCAGAGAGACCTGAGTCGCATGAGCCGACTCAGGTGACGCTTGCTCCGCGGGAATGGGCGACTCAGGCGGGGGCTGAGAGTCGGGCTCGGGGCTCTTCCGAGGCGTCGCAGGGGGGCGCAACCC